CCAACATCCATCTCTGAGCCTGTTTATATTGTGACAGTGACATATTTACTTTTTTTTGTTTGCATGTAAACTCACCCACTTTCAATGTTTACCTTTAAATTAATTACATATTTAGTATCTCGTACTTGTTGTTTATTCCACTCATGATTAAAAGGTTAAAAAAGGCTGTTTTATATTTTGAAACCCAACTATTAGTAAAATTAATTGTTTTATTTTTTGAATTCTGCTTCAGAAAAATTCAAAATTTACATCCAATTTCATCAGTCACAATCAACACATTTTCCCTGTCTTCTGGGTAATTCTGTGGCAGTTTTAATGTATTCTTGTTGTTATTGTCCACTAACCTTGGAAAATACTCTATTTACATTTCACCCTCTTTCTCCATTTCTGTCTCTTCATTTTCCACACATTTCCATTTGCCCTAAAATGACGCTATTTACCAGACCATTTGAGGACAGGCAGTCACACCTGGATAAACCCACTTAGTCCTGTTTTAATCCAAGGATGTGGCTGATGCTTTTATTTCACAGTATCTCGTCATCCTTTAATTAAAGGCACACCACCACAGGGTTTATTCTTCTTCTTCTTGGAGACATCAGGTTTACATCAACAGCTTTACATCAACCTGTTGTCCTGTCTTCTGTCTGTCTGTCTGTCCCACATTCCTACATCAATTCCTGTGCCTACAGGGCACTTGATCTCCCACCTTCCCCCTGTGATGTGAAATTGTGGAAGGTCCATCACAGAACTGTCCCACACACTCCAGAAAATGGGATGGCCTTTATTCGTCTTGCTCTGTTGCCTGGGAACTAAAGCTCTCTGGATTCCACTTTGGTCTAGGTAATTTAGCTTTATTTTATTTAATGCTCAAGGGCCCTTTTTCACATACATTTCTTTCAGTGTCTATAGGAAATAGGGCATATATACAGAATAGTATATATACTGTGTATAATTGATTAAATTGACCACACAATGCTGTTCATCTGCTTTTCAGATGCACAGTTGAATCACTGACTGTTTAGGTTTCCAGCAAATAGCTTAATTGTCATTAAAAAAATTTCAACACTGCTGTTTCCAGTCATACCTTTGTATTAGGCACATATTCTATTTCTTTTTTTGTGTGTGTGTTTTCAGCAACCAAGTAAGAAATATAGCTTGGCAATGTTGGGTTTCTCTTTTATTTACTGCCAGAAAAGCACCACACAAATACTGACCAATAGTTCTACAGTGCAGTATACTTCATTTCCAAATAGGTTTTTATACTGTATTTACTGTAGGAAATCTAAAGACCTTAAATAATTTCACAGCATCTTTTTCAAATATTCAGCTACTCATGGAAATGAAGTTGAAAATGATAGAAGCAAGAGTCCAATCAGTTACATCTGAAAAACACCACAGCGTTTCCATGAATACTGATTGCTCCTATCAAGGAGAGCAGGTGGCGGTAGTCCAGCTATGGATTTGACTTCTCAATTTACTGATTAGAGGTAAGAAAAAATGTGATCAGCAAGACTGACATGGTCTTATTTACAGTCCATCCTGGGATTCCATTTTATGGACTCACCCACAGCTGATAACGGTCAGTATGGTCGATTTTTATGTTTGCCATTAAGCTAGAATCGATGACAAATCTGTGTGCATTGTAAAAGTCTTAAAAAACTGCACTGGTGGCATGAGGTTTATTGATGATGTAATTTGTTCTTTCTCTTTAAACGTCTGACCAAGAAAGACATGGAGTGTTAGTAACATGTTCTTCCACCGTGGCACTTAAAGTGAATGTGTCTAAATGATCACTTTAAGAAAAAGGCAGGCTTTTTCTGAAGTTAATGGTACAACGGTTGTATTCAAAAGGAACATGGTCTCCTGCATTGTTTCCTGATCGAAGAACAACAATCAAGAAAGTACAGAAAGTATGACGCAGCATGAGGACCACATTGAGAAAGGAATAACGAATTATAAGATTAAAGACATAAATTTATGAAAAATATAGTTGAAATGTAACAAAAGAAACTTGTAATGTTTTGAGTAAAAACTCAAGACAGTAAAAAAACAAGAAAAAAGTTGAAACATTACAAGACAAAAAGCATTTATTTATGGGAATAAATTTGTACATTCAAGAGAATGACGTCAAAGGTTTTTCGGAGGAGACGAAAGAAAAGCACACAGCATCAACCACGTGTTCATTACAATAAGAAACATGGAGAATCTATATAAAGTTATACTTTAGAATTGGGTTCACAGGTAAAGAGATACTATATATTATTCTGACTCATCAGGCCTACATCAGAACAGTGAAAAGATATTCTGCACCAAAGAAAGAACCACACGGATTTGGGTAAAGTTTGTGTCATGAAATCATGAAAAAATGCTGTTATTCACCAGGATTAACAGCATTTGTTAGACATTTGATCAGAAGTGGTTGAAATTAGGATTCCCTTAGATACTTGGACACGACACGTGGGATGACATGTTTATACTAATATTACTACTTTTTATTCTGCTTGATACTCCTTCATAAGTAAGTGTGGAGTTGAGGAGAACACATTTGACAGAGGATGGCAGTGATACAGCAACAGCACATCAACTGCTATGTAAACCATGAAAGAAAATGATGGCAGTGGAGAAGACTTTCTCGACCTACTCCTTTCCACAAATGCAAACTGAAGCAAAGATGTGGGGCTAAATCAAAAGAAAAATAGATATTTTCTCTGCCTCTGTGCTTTCATTTCTGCAGGTCAGAACCTTCTGCAGGTGTCTGACAGTTCCAGGCGTCAGCTGGATGAGTTGAAAACATGATTAAATGTAAGACACAAACCACACACTAGAGGTGAGAAAATCTTACTGTATTATTATGATGAAACTTTTTTTTTTGTCTGACCCAATGTCCACTTGTCTTTCCACAGCATGTGAAAACAAACAGGCCACACTATCTGACCTTCCACTGCTTCATTCTGGTCAGTTATTAACAACCCTGTTTATCAGGGAAGGAAATTGTTTTTTAGGTTCGAACAGGAGCCATTTTTGCTACTAAAATCATTTTGAATATTTCATTTTGTTATTGTTTTAGAATTTTATGATTTTTGGGGGGTTGTATTTATACATTTTGTGTCCATTTCAATGTTGTTGTTTAATTTTTTATAAAAAAGAAAATGTACTTCAGGGAAAAAGTACATCCTTATAGTTTACTTTTTTTAAGGGATTTCATATAACATTTACATTTATGCATTTAGCAGATGCTTTTATTTAAAGAGACAGGATCAACAATCAGGTTACATACGATTGTCATTGTCATTGTGTTTGTATTTTTTTTTTTTTTTTGGTGTGTGGCCCTCTGCACTGGCCAACTACCAGAGTGTACCATGTCCTCGTCTGTCCACTGCTTAGCTCAGCCCTCTGTGACCCAGAAAAATAATTCAATAGTAGAAGATGAATAAATTAGTTCTTAGGCTGCAAATGTAGAAGAAAATAAAAACAAAACAACATGTGCATTTCCAGTCTGTACTTTGTTGATAACGAGCTTTGTTTAATTCACACTGCGGCCAGTTTTTGGTGCATAAATATTACAACGATTGTTCTGGTTTCTGCTATAGCACGAGCAAACTGTGTGTGTGTGTGTGTGAGAGAGAGAGAGAGAGAGAGAAAGAGAGAGAGTGAGATGGTATGCCGTGTGCGCGCGCGTGTGTGTGTGTGTGTAAAGTGCTGCCTGTGTAAAAACTCCTGTATGATATATGAGTATGGTATTAAAGCTGAAATGACAGCTATGTGGGGATTATATATTTGCATGCATTACATTCAACTATATTGTATTAAAACCACTGGACACACACACACACATGAACATATGCACAAACAATCATGAGTGCATGCATTTATTAATGTAGTGATGCAGCGGTGCCTAACAAATGAAAATCATCCATCTCTGCAGCAGCTTGTTTTAACTGTATGAGACCTTTTGATTGATTTTCTCCAGTCTTGTCACTGATAGCAGATGATGAGGGTTTTTTTCAAATGACTCAATTTTTCCCTGCACTCTCCACTCATCACTAGGCTTAATTATATTCATTCCGTACTTGTTATCTAAGAAGTGTGCTCACTTCTTGTTCGAGTCATTTTAACACCTCCTTCTTGTGTCTCTGTGCTCTGGTTAGTGCTGGATTGATGAGGTTATAAACCTTTAACACTAAGGCAACATTTAATATTCATGGTGTAGCTCATGTCAGCTCAGCAGAGGAAATACAGAAGTAGGGTGGTTGTGGGCACAACAGACAAAGGAATATGACCAAAGGTTACAGGGTCACAAATGTAAGCAGAAACCTTAATTTATAAAAGAAAAAAAACAAAGAAAGAAACAACGAAATTCCTTACATTTTAGGTTGTTTATTATCTTAATGAATGCATAGTAAATTTGTGCAGGTTTAAATAAAATATTTTCCACCTTGCCCTTTGTGTTTTCATCATGTCAGTTTATATGATTTTACATCAAGGATTACTAGTAGGATATTAAATCACAAACATTCATACTCATACAACATTGTGGAATTTTTTATAAATCTGATCTGCATTTATTAGTGTCTTATCTAAAGTCAACGCTGAAATACAACAACGTAATTAATTATAGTTCTTAGCCTGACCTGTCGAGAGACCACATGCAATTAAAGGATTCAAAACACGTGCGGAAGTTTAAATTTTCTTGCGGAGCAGGTAAACCACTTTAAAACGAAAGCTCTATTATAGAACTATTCAACAGTAAACCGTTGTTTTTCTACTGCCATCTAGTGACAACCGTTTCCCTTCCCTCTAAACTTCCCTGCTCAGTGTTTTGTTCTAAATAGACATGTTTTCTATAAAGCAGGTTTAAACAGGTCAATCTTTAGAATAGTTGTATAGATACTTATTCTTTGGTTTTTATTTTACATACTAGTCAAGCTGTGTTCCATAAATATATATTAAATATATATACAGTGTGTGCGTTGCGTGTATAAAAGGGCGTTGTCTTGGTGGGTGACGTATGACGTCGTTACGTAAACCGTTCGGCGCAAAAATTCAAACCCTGAACAGGACCTAAGCCGCAGCCACCGCTGTGTTCTCTTAAGCATTTGCTAATTATATTTCTCGTCTTTGATACAGCTAGAGAGGATATTACGAATTCGAAGGTATGTATAGAGAATCAAAAGGTCCTGCAGCGAACCGGGTTTCTTTTGTTTGTTTCTTTAATAGAATATACAGTGTTGACGCTTTGTTGGCTAATGCTAGCCAGAATTAGCGTTGTTGCATCATAGCACTTGGTTTCTGCATCTCTCATTGTGCGACTGAAACCAATATCTATGTACTTACTGAGATCTGAGATTATCAACCTGAGATTATATTCCTCTTCCAATAATTATTTGTATATTTATGCCGTGGTAGTTCAGTATGCACATTCAGTTGATGGTTTAATCGTTCTTCGCAAAAAAATATTTGTAAATGTTAAGCTTTTTGGTGAACGTGGGTTGTGATTCACATTCAGATTTTTAAAAACGAGTTCACAACTTGTGAACTCGTTTTTAAAAATCTGAAGTGAATATGCTCGGGTACACTGAACCGAACGAACGTGGATCGTTTGAATTTTTATAAACATAACATCTTTGCATGAATGTGTTCACTAGATGCATAATTTGTTGCTGCGCTGAATTTAATATTTTGAGTAAAAAATAACTTATGTGTAGTATTCATTTTTAAGTATGCATATCTGCTGTTATGTATCAAAGTGTGATAAGGCCGCTTTATGTGGTTTTATGGTTAAATTGTTGAAAATGCTTACATGTTTTAATCATTTTACGGTATCAAAAGTGCCTTAGTTTAGGATTCATTGCCAGACAATGAGAATTTAACCCTTACAGTGCATGAAGTTGACTAGGTGGGCGACCATAAACGGTGCTTTTTCTATTTCCAGAACAACACAGTAAAATCAAAATGAGTACATCTTCTACTCCTGATTCCCGGATTCGTCAGGGATGGACATCCTCTGTATCAAAAAACAAGGGTATCACTGCTGCAACACAAAGCACACCACTGCTGGCTGCATTTCCCGGGAATGACGACGAAAAAGAACGTCGTCAGCGCCGAAGGTCAAGAGTCATCGACCTTCAAAGTGTTTCTGACTCTTCCTTTAATGAATCCGCGTCTCATAGGTAAGATATAGAGATTATGATTTGGGAAACATGTTTGTATTGGTGAACTTAAGGAAGCCTTTTGAAAAGATTTATAAAGCTTAAATTTGAGATATACCAGATATATCAAACGTGTCCTGCCATCACCAAGATAATCTGATGTTTGTATGCAGCGTCACAGGGACTCCTGCAGCGGTGCCAAAGTTGTCAAATGCACAGATCTCAGAGCATTACTCCACATGCATCAAACTCTCCACTGAAAATGTAAGATTGAGCAAAACCCTGTAATAACATCAGTGTGTGTGCATTTTCAAATCCCAATTGATTTTTCATGAGTTAAGAGTTATGGTCTATTGCTTAAAATTTATTATTATAAAATATTAAAACGTGTAATTTTTCTTTTATGGCAGAAAATCACCACCAAAAACGCCTTTGGTCTTCATCTGATTGATTACATGGCTGATATTCTCAAGCAGAAGGATTCTGAACTCACCAACTTCAAGGTATGAAGATTTTTAAACCACTTCCATTGTATTAAAAATGTAGAATTCTGAAATACACGTCAAGTTTTGACCATAAAACAGATTTACTTTGGATTTTTGTTGAATTGAAATTTCTATGTTTAATCTGAATTTTTGTATGACATATTTTTCTGCTATTTTACCAACTTTTAATGTTCTGTACCTTTTAGGTTTTTGTGTGTGTGTGTAACTTTTCACTTTAACTTTCCCCCCATTCCACTAGCATCTTTATATCTTATTTGTAATTCAACCAAAAACATTGTCTTATGTAGTGAACATGTGTGATATGTGTCTTAGAAGTCAATTCAGATTTGGTAAAGTCAACTGTTTTATCTGTTTCAGGTAGCAGCAGGCACTTTAGATGCCAGCACTAAAATCTATGCTGTGAGGGTGGATGCTGTTCACGCTGATGCCTACAGGGTGCTGGGTGGTCTGGGGGCCGAAACCAAACCAGGAGAGGGTGAGAAGCTCTGCGCTGCACGATTATCATTACAAATATCAGGGTCACAACGAACCTGAAAAATAACAACCAATTTTCCAATTATGGAAAATAAGTAAAATGTCCTGGAAACACTTTAGGTATTAGGTAAGTAGGAAGTTATTTTTGACCCCTGCTTCTTCTTCGTTGTAAGTCAATGCGCACAGGTACAAAGTGCATGCACATGCCCTCTTGCCTCACACTGTATTTCCACAGGCAATATCAAAGAACATTACTTCTCTGCTCCCTCCTTGCATGCCACCTCAGGGCAACACCTCATTTTCCAGTTTCTGTTTGAGTTTGTTGCTACGTTGAGTAACTTCCCCTGTTTTAGATCCTGTTTAAGACTTAATACCCATAGACAAAAATGGAAAAGGATGCCCAATGGGTTTGCAACCTAAACTTTGTGTTCACTGGATGTTTTCTCTCCCATCACCACAGGCTCCTCTCTGTTCCCTGATGAAAAGGCAAACATGGAAGTAATCTGAATTAATGTAGAAAGATGCGTGGCACAGCTGCAGATAAGAAGACTTTTCACCAAGTCATGAGCATCAGGGATTAGTTTTAGAGTTTGACATGATATCCTGTCTGTCATACTGTAGCAGCTGTAGAGTATAAAATAATAATAAAGAAAGAGAATTCAGAATATGAATTAGATATATGGTCAAAAACAAATTTGACCGTTGTTGAATGATACATGAACGACTCCTTAACATTGGACTTTTCTGCTTTTTTGTTTTTCTTTGTCAATAAACAGACTACAGAGGGACTGAGGAGGGCAGAGAGGACGAAGGAGCGCCAGGTGAAGTGACTGCAAAGCAGCCGAAGAAGAAAAGACCCCACAAAAAGACAGTGGAGCAGAACCTGAGCAACATCAACAGTCCCGAGTCTGAGAGGAAGTGTGAGGTGAGACAACAAAAACAATGAGTGTTGGTGCTACAGACATAATAGAAAAAGAGTTGGTGGTAAAGTGTGTTTCAGTGTTTGATCTTTTGCTGGAGCAACAATTCACTTTGCTACAGTTTCCAGCAAAAATGAATTGACATTTATATATCTGAGTTTGTGTAGTCCGTTGATGTTCTGTTTAAATAAAGCATTTTGATGTTTGGTTCCCATCTTTAAAATAGCAAAAGTTTGATAGAAACAATTATAGCAAAGACCTCAAACGCAGTTTAAAGTAGGCAACTGGACTCACCTGAAGTTGAGTTGAGTCCAGTTGCCTACTTTAAACTGCTTTTGAGATTATTATGATGACCTGGATGACTGAGAATATCCACAAGTCATTACAGCAAAGGAAAACCAAAAATGACAGTTAGCAAACTAAAAAATACATATAAAAAGTTTTTTATTGAAAGTCTTGAAATTCATTAATTGACCATTTACCCAATTCTCATACTCAATATTCCGAAACAGTCCAGTGCTTAATTTCTGATCATAATAATAACAATCTATGCAGATTTTTTTGCCTCAAACACTATATAATTCCAACATTTTGAATCAAGAATGAAGGCATTAATTAATCAGGATTTCATATTTGGAAGAAAAACTGATATGTACAAATATTACATTATTATGTTCGAACATCCCTAATGAATAGGTTTATTGGCTTTGCTGATAAATCTGATTTATAAATACATTGACATTTGGTTTGTCCACACAGTGAGAATTATTATTAAACAAAAAATGTTGAAATATCTAGAATTCTCTGTATGTCTCACACAATGTTTGTATTGTTCTTGTCTGATTTGTTGAGGTTTAACTGACTTAATTGATTTTTTTTTTTACCAATGAGACAATAGTGTTGTAATTATATGAGTTGTGGTCAGTATTTTTTGGACACTCAATATTTGCCATTTAAATGTAAACGCGCTCATCTCTACATTTGCCCTCATTCAGGTGGACCCCATGTTTCAGAGGATGGCCTCGTCCTTTGATGAGAGCAGCACAGCCGGCGTCTTCCTGCCAGTTCTGTTCAGTGAGAGCAGTCGCTGCGCGTTGCTCTTTCCTTCCTACTTCACTCTTCTTCAGTCCAAACCGTCCTACTCTCCTCCACCACCACAGACCGTCTCTGCTTCCCCATTCAAGGGTAACAATAAATTCTTTAAGTATAAAGATTTTATTATAGCAAATTGTCAGGTAGATTCTACTGTTCCCTGGTTCCTTTTTAAACAATTTTTCATAATTCTGTTTTTTTTTTTTTACTTTTTTTTTTTAGCTGGACTTGATCGTTCTCAGGAAAAAAGTTCCATCTGCCCCTCATTGGAGGATTTCTCCTTCACCAGCTGGAATCCAGAGCAGGTCAGAGATTCCACATCATCGCTAATAGTTTAATGCAACTTAGTTTTAGTAGAGGCATAAGGCTGCCCCCTATCGGGTCCCATGGGATCAGTTGATGGTTGAATGTGGAGTTTGCATTTAAAATTTCAAAATGATATAACTATTTTTCAACTGTTGCTGATTGAATTAGAAGTCAGCCAATCAGAGGTAGCGGTAAAGTTAAGAATCTTAAATATGGAGATACTAGGTAGCAAAGAAAGTCGTGGAGAGTATTAATTCACTATAATAGGCAAGGGTGGGTAACCTTTTCAGCAGAGAAAGCCAAAAAAAGTCACAAATTTTAAAATGTATTTCTGTGAGAGCCATACCATTAAATGTATACATTACAACTGAATGTATGAATTTTCAAACCATAAAAAACAATTTTTGAGTATAATAAGCCTCTGAAGTATTAAAGTAATTTAAGAAAATTAATAACGTTCTTATGCTATCCAATAGATGAAATACTTCTTACCATTAATGCGACTTCTGGTGCTGCATGGTCTTGATGCGATTGACCCCAGTGCAAAAAAATACTTATGGATTAAAATGTGTAACAGAGTTATAAATTAATGGTTCCACGTGCCATACAACAGAGTTTATTACACACCACGTAAGAAAAACCTTAATTTATGGTCATTTAATACAACACCCCTGCTGAGTCGTGAACCCTGGGGAGCAACAGTCAGGCTACGCTGTCCTTATGGTAGGTGTACATGTTAGGATGTCTGTCATTAATTAATTTGATTATTTTAATTTTATCATTAACTGTACTGTTATTTACTTTATATTTTCAGTGCACACATAAAAGAGCACACATATAACAGTATTTCATGAAGATAAAGCCACAGTGTGTAGAAGCTGCATCATTAAAGCTGCAGTTACCTTATTGTCCTTGTCTTAACTTCAATGAAAGCATTACTGCTCCTCCATCATTATATTTTATCTCATTATCCCATTTAAGAGTACACACAGACTTGACTTTTATGTGAACTCATTTTGTTTTCCCCACTAAAGCTCAACAGGTCTGTCTGTTACTATTCTCTTGTTGTGGTTGGCTGAAAAAAAGGGGGCGAAGGGGTACGATCTTAATTCCAATGTATATATTGTAATATTGTGCATAAGCCTGTTAATTTCACTGTGTTTAATTTAATTAATGTCTTCACTAGTATCTTTACTTATGCATCTGGTTCTCAGACCATAAATCAGCTCGTGGAGAAGATGAAGCAAGGTGAGCACGTTTTTGACATGAACGCTGAGCCAGAGCCTGAACCACAGGATGACGATTGTCCAGACTTTGATGCTGACTATGAAGAAAGACTTGGGGATTGTGAGGAGGGACACAAGGAGCGCAAAGAGAGTTGTGAGGCCTCAGGGTCTGGCAAAGGAAGGTGAGATAAAAGATGACTACAGCTGCGTAATAGTCTTTTTTTCCATGTTTGTGTTTTCAAAAATAACTTGTCATAGAATTACAGATACTTTTTGTGTTTTACTCCTGTGCTTTCTCTTGTTATTAATTAGAACTTTATGAATACTTGAGGATGTAATTAAAAACCCTGTCAGCTTCCGGTCATTAATGTATTTTTCCTGTTTGTGTTCCTTTGGTGTGGATGGTAACAACACAGGGATGTCATTCCCATTGGAGAAGGAGACATTACCACCATGTGTCTGCAACTCTCCTCTCAGCCCAGAGAGTATTCATACTTCAGCCCCAGGACAATGGCTACGTGGGCTGGACCAGGATACTGGCAGTTCAAGCCAAAACACAAGCGTAAGGATTGACTCTAGGACAGGGGTTGGTGGAGGGAATAGGGTTTTTTTTGTTTTGTTTTTTAAGCTTTTAATTTGTTTTGGGTTTTTTTTTAAATAATTATTTATCTATGTTTTCCCCTCTGACCAGGAGTTCTTAATTTTTTATATATATATATATATGTGTGGGTGTGTGTATTTTTTCAGTATTGGAAAAACTAGCTTTAATAATTGTCTGTCTTCTTTGTGTTCATCTTTTCATTCACCAAATCACCTCCAGTGGACCACTTACCTGATAAAGAGACACGGAAGAGGAAGCCTAGGAAGACATTTGAAATAGATTTCAGCGATGACGTCAACTTTGACACCTACTTCCGAACCACAAGGGTAAAAAAAACTGCTTGCATACAGTTTGAATACACATCCTCTGGGGTCCTTTTGTTAAATATTAAAGAAACTACTCTCAGTGCAAAAGACTGTAAAAACTGTAACAGAACTTTGGTTCAAGCAATAATACGGTTATTTCTACCAAATGCAAATACATAGTTATTATTGTCCAGCCATCAATTTTCATCCGTTTATCCATTACCGGATGTTAATCAGGTAATGGATAAACAGTTGTCTAAAAATCCATTGGGCAG